CCCAACAATCCGGGTCCTCATTTTACCTACCTCGGACAGATTGAAGGCTGAGTCAACCTTGAGCCGGTGAGATTTGAACTGCCAAACTGCAGCTAACAGTCAGCTGAAGTGGCCTGCAGTACTGCACTCTAACCACTGCGCCACCTCGGCTCTTATATCTTCCCTCCCCCCTCCCCTCCCATTCAAGAACAATTTTCTCAGTGTTTACAGATGGACATTGATGGAGGCATGGGGTTGTTCTAAAAAATGATGATAAAATTACTTAAGCTAAGTCTGGGAATACTTGCTATTTTAGTGATTGATTTGAAACAAGTCAAACAATCAGGTTTTTTTTTCAAATTGTAAGTAGGAAGAGTGGGGGAAGAAAAAGAAGCAAATGAAAGAAAAGTAAAAATGTCTGTATACAGTAGCTTTCCCAATTCTTAGCATCTGCAACCACAGCAGAAAGTATTTCTGAATATATCAAATTCTTCACCAGAGCGATACATTTTCTTTGATAAGAAGAAAAATATTTAAAGCAAACTGTCTTTTACCAAATATTTTTAAGCAGGAAATGTTGAGCTTATCACTGTGGAACATATGGGTAGCAATAGGATTGTGAACCTTGTATTTTAAACCTTAATCATGCACGAACCATTACGACTTATCCCTTCTTCTGTGCCTCAGAATAAACAAATCACAGCATAGATCAGTGACAGATGGACAAAATATCCCTCCGTTGATAGAAAAAAAATAAAAGAAACTGTATGTTGCAGTCAGTATTAAATATATAAATATTCTATTAATTTCAGCAAAAAAGATAACACATTTTCTGCAAAGTAAACATTACAGAAATTGTAAATGAGAACCTGCAAATTATTGGCTGTTATCAAAGAATATATATATACGTATATGTATATGTATATTAGTTATTATGGCAAAGCCCCCAATTGCCTGAACAAATAAATCACCAATGTGGACAAACTCATGCCTATTTCTTAAAAATGCTAGCTAGAACTTCTTTTTAATTATATTGAAGATATAGTCTAGGAAAGGCAGACTTAACAGAAAGTTAATTTCTGTTTCTTGAAACTATTTGTTTTTTCACTACAAAAGAAAACATAGCCATCTTCCAAGCATGCAGAAAGCTACTCAGAAGATATGCAAATCAAATGAATGATGACATAGCTCTCATGTTTTTTGAAGCATACATCAATGGAAATTTTGTACATATTAGGAAAAATGCATTCCATGGACATATTTAGTAGTCTTATGAGAAGACAATACATATTCTATGATCTTTTATAAATGACATGATGACATCCATAATAAACTCCTTGTGTATTGGAAACAGTGATGGGTTGCAGGCGGTACGTCCCGGTCCAGGTGTACTAGAGCCTGCCCGGAGCACCGGGTACCTTTCCGGTACCGTGCTCCGGAGGGCTCACCTGCCCGCCCGCGCTTCTTATCTGTTTTTAAACCCTTCAGCGCTTCCGCGCACATCATGTACAGAGCCTGTGCAACGCTCCGTCGAGCAGCTGGAGCGTTGCAGAGGCTTTGCTGGATGGTAAGACGCATGTGCACGCTACGAGTGCGTGCACATGTTGCACGTGTTCATGTGGTGGACACTAGGCCCAGTTGCAACCATACTGGTTGCAACAAGATCCGGAACCCACCACTGATTGGAAATCATGATTCACTCCGAACTCAGTTGATTTATGAAATGCCAAAAGTATCAGCCAAATGTTAGCAGCATGATGCTGAGAGATTAGGCAACATCACAGCCAAAACAAACCTTCTCCAGCCAAATGACCTCCAAGATATTTCAGATTAGTTTGCAGTTGCACCAAATTATAAAAAAACTAGCTCCTTTCTACTTGTTGAATTGCGTGCATCATTAATTATCATGGAAGTTGCATAGTGCTCCATTTTGGAGTCTTTAGCTTAATTTAACTTTGAAAACATAGGAACGTGAAGGAGCAGCTGTATGAGTCCTTTCACTAACATTTGGGGTTCCCATCCACCCCAATGGTGGGTTTCTACCGGTTTGGCCAAACCGATAGTGGTATGGTGGCTTGGGTTACTGGAATCGGCAGCGACCCAGGCCTGTCATGCTCCCGAACCGGTTCCCTGGTCGCTGTTGCCGGCATCTTATTTTTTAGTCCTGTGCATGCGCAGAACAATTTTAATTCAACTGTGCATACGTGCACAAGCGAACAAGCAGTAAAGTTCGGCAGAACCCACCCTAGACCCACTCCCTCCATAATTGTGTAAACTGGAGACCATGTTTAAGTTGCAAACACAGTCTTCAAAAAATATTTTGCAGGTTTTGCTACAAAGTGTCCAAATTCCATATTTAAATGCAATGGGTAAATATAATCAATAAACAGATAGATGGGTGGGCAGCAAAATCTGAAACCTCATTTGGCACCTTGATACCATTGGAGTCTACTTGCATTAATTTGTCTTTACACAGTTGTCTTCCAAAGCTGTTAAACTCAAATAATGCATATGGGAAGCTATCCATAGCTCATGTGATTCAATTGCTTCTTTGTAATTAAAGATGGATCATTCAAATGTTTCAAATAATACTTCACTTGAAATTACTTGTATATTTTGGTTGCAAAAATGACCTTATCTCCTATTCCCATGATTATAGTGGATCCAGGAGGGCTCCTTGGTTTACTGAGAACCTCAGGGAGATGAAGCGCCAAAAGAGACGCCTAGAGCGCCGCTGGAGGGCCAGTAAATCCGAGTCAGACCGATGCACTCTGCATCGGAGCATATCTATCGGCATTACGGACAGCCAAGAACAACCACATTGCCACTCTGATAGTGTCCGCTGAGTCCCGCCCTGCCGCCTTGTTTAGGGTGACCCACTCCCTCTTAAATACGAGGGTTGTGGAGAACCCCTTACAAGGTAGAGCAGAGGAATATGTCCAGTTCCTCGTGGACAAAGTTGCTTG